TGAGTGAATGATTGAGTAACTGAGCGAGTGACTGAATGATTGAGTGAGTGAATTATTGAGTTACTGGCTGAGTGGGTGACTGAGTGAATGATTGAGTAACTGAGCGAGTGACTGAATGATTGAGTGAGTGAGTTTCTAAATGATTGAGTGAGTGAGTGAGTGATTTAGTAACTGAGCGAGTGACTGAATGATTGAGTAAGTGAGTTTCTGAGTGATTGAGCGACTGAGTGAATGATTGAGTGACTGACTGCCTATTGTCGCAAACCCCCACATACGAGTATATCCACCCTAACGTTTATCCAGTCTGTTTTCTCTGTCACCCGCCACAGCAAATGATATTATTGGCAGGACTGGTCGATTGGTAACAGTTTAATGAAAGTGCACCACGCTGAAGGTGGAAGCTACAGATCTAGTTTATCGCATGGACGTAACATCACGTGGGTTTAGAACCACCTCTCTGATTTAGATGGCATTTGCTGTGGTAAATATGCATTAAGTTCTGTCTAACCAGTTCCCTTCAGTTTGAATCATCTTAAGGACCACTTTATTTCTGAGGGTAAATTAACTTTTATGATTATCTTATGAGTTATCTGATAGATTTTAATCAAACTTGATTGTATTACTTTCATTCTTATGAATTTATTCAATGACTACCTTCCGTATGGACCAAATTGAACTTTTACGTAAATATCTAAAGTTATTTGGCAGATTCCTATCAAACTTCATATACCAAACTTGTGCTATATAATCTGCTATTATCTATGCCATCTTAGTTACAGTACTTAATATTCCGAAGCCGAAGCTCGTCCAAGTTGTATCTAAGAATTCAGTCCGTACCGCGAGAAGAATAACCTCTTCGTGGAACCTCGATTTGTACCAAATGCATTTAGCTGAGCAAGTCCGCTCCGGTCAGAGACGTCACTGCTCATGAAGAAATAAATTACCTCCTGAAAAATTAATATGGTACGACCAGATAGATAAAAAGTTCACTGCATTCTATGGAACCCGAATGTTCATTACCGTGTTCATATCAGCCCGCCACCTGTCCATATCCAGACTCTGACATGTCCAGTCCAAATCCTCCCACTCCGATCTCCAGAAATCCATTTTAATATTGTACTTACGCTCTTATAATCCTCTGCTTCAAGAGGAATCTTCCCCTCTGAGATCATGGAATTACGGTATTGTAGGAATTTCGCATTTCCAGCCCAACTCATTTGATCATCGTAACAATATTTTGTACCCATCAGCTACGACAAAACTTCAAAACGGCAACGATTAGTCGATCAAGTGAGTGAGGGTTCACAAACCTTTCCTCCTGCCCCCGC